AGAAGCAGCTTTTCCTCTCCTGGAATTGACACCTCCTCATCTATTATTGGGAGTGGACTACATCCACCCTGATTGAATTGGCCCTGTCAACACTGCCACCCTGATTGAATTGGCCCTGTCAACACTGGTTCTCCACTTGCGAAGTAACTCCCTGCTCTCCATGTGTCAGTATATAATGCCTGCATCTGTAACTTTCACTCTATGCATCTGAAGAAGTGAGGTTTTTACCCACGAAAGCTTATGCCCAAATAAATCTGTTAGTCTTTAAGGTGCCACCAGACTCCTTGTTGTTCTTCTTCTACAATGTAATAGACAAGACTGAACACAAGGGTTAGTCGTCAGTTGTCAAGTCAATTGTCCTAGCTCCAATAAGGAGTTTATTTCAGGTGAGGATCTGCCTCCTAAGATCTCCATGGACCTTAATACTCTACCTGGATGAAGGTCATCATGACATTTGGGACAGGCTTAGGTTCCAGTTTAGCAAAGATCTTAAGCACATGTGTAACTTTAAGCACATGGGTGGTCCCGACGCCTTCAACTTTTGGCTGTCTGTTATAAGGAAGCATTAAGGGAATACACCTTAGTAGCATTCAAAGAGGAATTCAGTAGAGAACCCCAGCTATCATGCATCACCCCCGAAAGCAGTTACACCTGTATGAACAAGCCAGGCTACCCTGGCATGTCTGTTGTGATTCTACAGGTGAGGGTGATGGAGCTAGTTAACAGACGGGTAAGACAAATCAATACAGATTAATCAGATAGAAGCTATATTGGGTCCAATTTATCTTAGCATATGGCCCCTAAGGGTAAAAATTCAAATGGGATCTCCGCTTTCCCCCATCCAGTGTCCAGAGGTGACTCACTCTGAACTCTGGATTGGGAAGCGCTGCTTAATCTGGAAGTGCTCACACCTCTTGTGCTTCATTGTCAGGCCATATTTAGGCGTGATGTCCACCTTCTCTCCATCAGAGATGCTGAACTCCAGCTGCTGCAGCAGGGTGGTCAGGAAGAGGAAGACCTCCCATCTGGCAATGGTCTCGCCAATGCACTTCCTCTTCCCCAGGCCAAAGACCAGCACCTTCTCACCATCCGCCTTGTTTACTTCAGTCCCTCCGGCATGGAGGAAACGCTCTGGGTCAAACTTAGATGGTTCTTTCCAAAGCTTCCTAGAATAGCAAGAGCAAAGCTCCTGAAACTTCCGTTCTACCGCTGCCTGGAGAGGGGATGCTGGACAGCAGGGAATTCAGTTTGGATAGGTGTCAGGAACAGCTTCAGAACTGGGCCTAGGACCCACTGCTATCCACGCACCTTTATCACTCAATAATGCCTTTTCCTTTTAAAATATCCATCAGAAGGCACCGGGCCAAGTTAACCTCTGCCGTAAGGCGTTGATGTTACTGGTTGGCTTTTGCACTGAAGCCTGAGGGGTTAGATCCCTTATAAACATGTTTTTAATCCTCTCTGAAGTTATGGTTAATGTTCTCATTATCCGCTAATGTCTAATCCTTTTCTGAATCCCGCTAAGCCCTTGACCTCACTAGCATCTTGTAGCAATGCTTTCCACAGATCAGTTGTGTATTCCACAGATTATAAGGCCAGAAGGAACTGTTGTGGTCATCTAGTCTGATGTCCTTTATAACAAAGGCCCTAGAACTTCCCTGAATTCATTCCTGTTTGAACTACAGCAGATCTTACAGCCAAACATCCCATCTTGATTTATAAATTGCCAGTGATGGAGAATCCACCACAATCCTTGGGAAACTGTTCAAATGATTAATTACCCTGACCGTTAAAATTTGCACCTGACTTCTAGTCTGAATGCATCTAGTTTCAGCTTCCAGCCATTGGATCTTGTTGTACTTCTGTCTGATAGATTGGAGAGCCCTCTGTTATTAAATTTCTGCTCCCCAGGTAGGTACTTGCAGGCTGTGATCAAGTCCTCTGATCAGTTTTAAATTTGCTGCTTTCTGATGCTATTGAATATCCCCTTCCTCCTTTATTATGAGAGGATAAATAGAAGCACTCTGTACCAATCATTATTTTGTACGCTCTACCATGTCCCCTTCCTATACAGCTGCCCTCTCAACTAAATAGTCCCAGTTTTCTTAGTCTCTCTCCATACACAAATCTTTCTAGCCCTCTAACCTTTTCCATTAGCTGTTTCTGGACCCTTTCCATCCCTGCTCTGTCCTTTTGGAGATGGGGTGACCAGACCTGGACACAGTATTCCAGGGGAGAGGGTGTCATTGATGTACAGAAGAGCAGTATAATCATCCCAATGTTCTCTACATGGGGAAACTGACTGGAATAATTGCCATTAGTTATACCAAAATCGCTATAGGCCAATAGTTATTCCATTATGCCAGTCAATTTCCACATGTAGACAAGCTTTCGGTGTTTTTCCTGACCCCATTCCTTATGCACCTTGACATTCTGGTTGCCTTTTTCACCTCCGCTGCACACTGAGCAGAGGTTTCCATTGAGCTGCCTGCAGTGACTCCCAGTCTCACAAGAGATTTCTTCCTGATCCTTTCATCAGCAAGGACTAGGGTGCAAATTAGGCGTACAGACCCAGCAGATCCAGGTAAAAGCTTGATGGGGACCAGGGCCATCTACGTGGAGTCTGTGGGCTCATCAGCCCACCCAGTGCTCCTTGGCAGCACAGTTCCAATGCGCTACACACTCACCCCTCCCCTGCCTGGCCATCTCTGTGTCTTCCCACAGCAGAAATTCCCAGTCCTGTGGAGAATGGGGAAAGCACAGAAATACAGCCAGAGCCATCTCATCTAGGTTTGGGTTTTTTGATACAATGGGGCAAGGAACATTCCTTCTCGTGTGCTTGGAAAGTGGCTAGTACATCATGGATAACATCACACACAAACAGCATCATCCTGATCTGTTTGTCCAAGTGCCAACCAGTCATACTGAAGGTACATGGTAGTGACATGTTCTATGCGACTAAATGGGGGCTGGTACATTGATATGGATGGATTGCACACTATTACCCTAAGGGACTCTGCATATACTTACTCATCGTGATTGACTTGCCATTGGTTGACAAACACACAGAGGTCCTTCGGGATGTAGTAGCCATTCAGTACTGTGTCTTTCGTTGTGCTGAAGGACGAGAGTGAGATTCTTAAGTTTAAAAAGCTGCCTCTGTGTTCTCATATCAATCAATTCCTGGGCCCGGTTAAGTCAGGATTGGGCCCAGAGGAGATCATTTTCATAAGCGTTATTGTACTTTCTAAGGGCTGGGTTTTGCCTGTCTCACACTGTGAGGACCATCAATGGAGTGACATGCTGAATAAAGGTACCACTCAATGCGTTATGCCCCTACATCTCCTCTGCATCCATAGCACTTACCAGTGAGGAATGGTGAAGGGCATGAAGGAGGAATGTCTGAACATCTCTAAGATAAAGGCTTCTGTGTAAGGCAGCATGGGCCGGTCTGAGAGTCTGGGTCTCCTCTCTCTGCCAATGGTCTGATCTACAGGTTATAAAGAGGAGGAAAAGGATGGTTGGAATCCAGCCTTCTAGAGAGATGCATTTTAACTCTGTGATTGAAAACATACAGTTACCTAATTCTTCCTGAATCTTTTTCTGAATGTCTGGATAAGTCACAAGATACATGAGGCTCCAGGACAAAGCTGTTGTCACAGTGTCAAAACCTAGACAGACAGAGAGGAAAGACAGATACTAACTAGATGAAGACAACTCAAGGGAAAAATACAAGCCCCGGACTTTAGATTGTTATCAGATTTTCCTTGCTTGCACACAAGTTTTTGTCCGAAAAAGCTGTGATAAGAAAGTTCCTAGTTAAGAGTTTTTACACTTGCTCCACTCTGTGCGTAGTGATGCTGATTCGTCATTGTGCTATTTCAGTTTTATACTGGTGTAACTTCAATGAAATCAATGGGGTTTCCCCAGTGTAATTTAGTGATGAGTCAAGACCAGTACTGGTAAATAGGGATACAAAACTGTCTTTTGGGAGCTTCATTTTCCTTGAGCGCTGTCTTCCTACAAACTCTTCCTCGAACAGTAGGAAGCCTCTTGGGGTCGTTGCTGGTAGGCGTCAGGGTGAAAAAACTAATGTGATCTGTTTTCTGCTACTGAGAGCATCTGGATGGAGTGTTCTTATGGGGGGGACAAAAAAGGGCTAATATTTATCAGAGTTTATTGGAATGCAAAAATAGAAAGTGGTTTCAGATTTGAAAGTCTGAATTGGAATGTTCTTACCGGCTCCAAAGAGGTCATTGACCAGGTTGACAATTTTTTCCTTCGGGAGCTGAATGTTGGCATTGGCTTCCACTTTATTCTCCTGACTTTGCTCAATCAAGGAGTCAGTGATGTCTCGAATGTTGTCCTGAAAGAGGAAAGTCCAGAGGAAGATGGCATGAAATTCCAGACCACTAGGCAGGTAAACTGTACATCGTACAGGTAACAAAGAGCAATCTACTACGGAAGAGACACTGTGCTGGAAAGTCCAGTATCCCCATGTCACAGAAGTGCAAGTAAATTCCAGTCATGACAGGAATAGGAGGTCAGGAAAATATTTTCTTCCCCTACAGTCAGTAGGTAACATTTCACTGAGCCATAAAAATAAGGAGATGAGAATATACAGCTTGAAAGTGCAGGATGTCAGAATGATCCTCTTCTTGGAAAATACAAGACAAACATGCTAAGCAAATTAACTCTCAATATGTGCCTAGGGAGAGAAACTTATTAGTATAGAAACTAGGGTAATTTGTGTCCTAAGATGGTCCTATAATAGATAAGATGAAGATTCATTTGTAAATTCATAGAGGTCATAAAATGCCATTTTGGCTAGACAGGTTGGCTAAAAAGCAGCATAACCTTTCACCCTGCACCTTTCCAGACTTTTATTTAGGTGGATGCTGGAACGAACAGGCTAGTGTGTCAGTGCACCATTGCCCTCTATTGATTGACATCAGTACTGCTCAACAGTGTGTCATAGGTACTAGGCCCTGTGTTGCTAACAGCTAATGGATATTCTTCTTTAGCTCAGTTGGTAGGGACCTGTGTATTTGGACAAGAGTATAAATTCTATCCCACTCTTTCTATGAAGTTTTGAATGGCCATCATAGAAACACCGGTGAGTGTTTATATTTGCTACAGGACTGCCTGCTGCAAGAGGAAAAGTACTCGCAGAAGCTGAAGGGCACAGTACAGAAGCTCATCTCAGGTGTGAGCAAATTCCCCCCCTAGGCTCTTACCTTCTCAAAGCTTTCGTAGTGCTCTTTGACTATGTCCTGCAGGAGCCTGAGGAACCTCTTGTTGAATTCTATAAATTTCTTCATGGTGCTGTTGGGGAGATACTGGAGCACTGGGATGAAATCTGCTGTATTGCCGGAGGCAGCCACATCCCCAAATTGATCCGTCACATTCACTATGCTGAGCAGCTCCTGGTCATCATGGTCGTAACGCTTGCCAAAGCACATGGCACAGATGACATTGGCCACAGAGACCACCACGTACCGATAGGGGTCAAACCTCTTCTTCTCCTCCATCAGTTGCAGGAACTTTCTTACTAGGTAGTCAGCTTCTTTGGAGACATGCTCCTCAAGGAGGCAGATGGATGAAGAGTTGGGGCTGGGTGAGACAGAGAAGGTCTTCAGGGCATTCTGGGCCAACTTCCTGCGAGCTCTCCACACCTCCCCTGAATCAGTGCTGAAGGCCAAGCTCTGGCCATCTCCAACATTGTGAAAGCTGTAGAGATCAGGGCGCCCCATGAAGTCTTCCCCTTGCTTCACCAGGGCTTGTTTGATGGTGTCCAACCCACTCAGCACCAGCACAGGTCTGGTGCCGATCTGTATCTGCATCACATCTCCATACTTCTGGCTCATCTGAGTCAAGGTCAGGTGTGGATTGCTCCCCAGCTCCAGCACGTTGCCTATCAGGGGGTAACCCCTTGGTCCTGAGAGCCTCTTCAGCCCCTTGGGGATCTGCTGCCGGAAGGATCTGATGACCATGAAGGTCAGACAGAAGACAGCCAAGGCAATAAGGATCTCGGTGACTGAGATAATGCCCTGGCTTCCCACCAGTGACATTGCAGCCTTCATCTTCAAGGGCCTAAGAAGCCTGAGAAAATTAAACAAAGGGAGGGTGTTGGTTGTCTCACTTCCTCAGGCTGCTAAGGAAATACTAGCCTTATGCCTCAAGTGAGCCAGACTCCACACAGGGCCATGACACACTCAGGCCTCCTTGCATTAGAACTTTGGGGGATTCCTTCTTCATAAACCCTTCCCGTAGGTTGGCCATTAGCAGGGATCCAGCCCTTTGACCCTAGAGCCTCTTACCTGCTGGGATATTCCTTCTACACTAGTTCTAGTTCCAAAAGCACAGGACAGGAGTCAGGAGATCTGGGTCCAAATCCTGGTTCTGCCACAAACTTCCTGGGGAACCTTGGGCAAGTCACTTCATCCCATTGTGCCTCTGCTTCTCATTGGCAAAATGGGAATAATCATATTTATAACCTCAGGGGTGTTGTGGAGATAAATTTATTAACAAAATGTTTGTGATGCTCTTGGGGATCTGCAGGTAGAAAGAGCTCAAGAACTGCAGAGACTTGAGGTGCCAATTAACATTTCACTTTCTTCTTTGTGGAGTTGATTGGTTTACTGCGGTCCAGCCATGGAGAGAAGAGAAATTGACAGGGCAGTTTGAAATACACAGGACCTGTCAGCATTATCTGAACCCTGGGAGAAGTGGGGGAGGAATCTACTGCTTCATCATTATCCTCTCTGGCCACTGATTGTTAGGAATCGGGACATAGACAATCTGGCCTAAGGGTCAGAGTCAGGAGCTGAGACAATGATCAGAGCAGAAATTAACAGGCAATGATCAGGAGCGGGACACAGGGGCAGGAACCAGAGATGAGGCAAAGAACAGGAGCAAGGCAGGAATTGGGAGCGAGGGCAGGAGCCAAGGACAAGACAGGAGTGGAGCAGGGTTGGATGCAGATTGCAGGAGAGAGGCAAGGAGCAGTGTCCAATGCAGATGCAACAAGGAGTCTGCATAGTTTCTTAGACAATCCACCCAGCCATAGATGATTCATTCCTCCTGATACTGGGGGGTGGGGGTGGGCACAATGTAAAGGGAGGTGTGACGTGAGGCCCTGGTGTCGCCTCCAGGAGGAACTTCCAGCCCCACCTCCCTGGGCCACGGTAGCCATTCCCACTTGCTCCTGGGGGGCTGGGGTCACAGGAGTGGGGAGCATGTGCCTCTGGGCCTGGCTGGGACCAGGGCCAGCCCCAGCCCAGGGAGACTCACAGCACCAGTGTCCCTGGAGCTCACAGACACCTCAGCAGGGGCGGGGCAGGTCACAGGCAATGCTCCTACCTCCAGCTGAGCAGAAGCCAGGGAACCTGCTCCCAGCACCTTCCCCAGCAAACCCTGTGCCCAGCATGGGGACCACCATGCTCTCCTTACCCCACCAGAGTTACCTGCAGGGGGGTGAGAGGCTCTGTCCTTCCACTGCACCTCCCACTGGCAAGTTTAGGGCTCACTCGGCCACTCTCCCTGGCAACTGGGCCTGGGTGGGGAGTGGAAGGGATGGGCCGCTGCCAAGTCCCCAGCTGGGTTCTCGCAGGCAGCCACCGCACTGGACAGAGCAGTGACCCAGAGCCACCACCTTCAGACAGTGTGATAATTGACTCCATCCCACCCCTTCCACTCCCCATCTGGGCCCAGCTGCCAGGAACAGGGGCCGAGCATGCCAGGGGACAGGCACAGCAGGAGAAGGACAGAGCCCCTCTCCCCCGGCAGGCCGAGCAGAAATCTGGGTGGGGGGAGGAGGGGACACAATTTGTCCTCACATGCCCCACCACCACCCACATGTGTCGCTTATACTGCCTGTCTTAAGTAGTGGATGTGAGCCAATCAGGTGATCCAGGGTCTGTCCTGGGAGTCCCTCTAGGACTTCCTGTGGGGCCTGACTTTGCAGGAGCAGTAAGGGGCTACTTTGTCTGTCTGTCTCCTGTGGTGGTAATGCAGCAGTGTCTGTAACCCAGGGCCTCCCCAGGCCTAGGTCCTAGACCCTCTACAGCAGAACACTCAGATCCTTCCATTGATTGCCCTTAAGGAGTTGGGGCCTGATCCTCAGCTAGGATAAATCAGTTGAGCTTAATTGATTGAATGGAGCTAGCCCAGGATCTGCCCCTAACATTTACCCCCAGTGCTACAGGAGATACAACAGTTATTCCTTAGAGCCAGGGTGCAACTGGTGGCTTTGACATGGTGCTGCACTCCTGAAACTGGTGATCCTGGCCTGGAGTCTCACTAACTGGTATCTTTATCCTTCTCCCAGCTGGGAGGGGGACACCTGACAGGGGGCTGCTTGCTGAGTGAAAACCCAGAGCTCAGTCACGGGCCCTTGGGTCTTATGCTGCCCCCTGTTACTGTAGTATCTGAACTCCATAAAGTCAGTAGCAGTAGCAAAGTCTCCAGTGGATTTGATGGCGTCTCTGGCACTTCTCTCTTTCCAGAGTAAAAACTCTGCTTGGGGTAAATTGTGGTGTCTATTTTTGGCAGGAGTTTGGCGGCAGAAGGGGATTTGAGAGTGCGGGTCACTCCGAGGGCGGAAAGGCATTTTCAGAGAGGAAGGTTTTGCAGCATTTCCTATAGGTAAGGGCAGGCTAAGATTTGGTCAGGGATGTTTTTAATAAAAGTCCTGGATCGGTCACTGCAATGAACAAAACACAGGGAAGCGCTGCCCTGTCCCTGACTTTACTAGAAACATCCCTGACAAAATGGGGAGGGTCTATCACCCCCCCCCTGCAGCGGCTGAGAGCTGCGGGGACCCCATTGCCCAGTGGCTGGGAGTCCCCTGCTGCTCTGCGGGGCTGGGCGCTGCGGGGAGCCCCCTGCCAGCGCTGAGCAGCCCCGGGGTCCCTTTGCCGCCGCAGTCGTGACTTCCAGCGACTTCCGAGCCTGAGCGGGCGGCAGGGGACCCTCCCGCCGCTGTCCAGCAGTGGCGGGACCCTCGCAACTGACCGGCCGCCGCGGTCCGGGGCGACCCCTAAGCTACCCAGCCGCCATCGCTGGCAGCCCCCACCCCCCAGCTCCCAGCCTGCGGTGGCAGAGGGATCCCGGAACTGCTTGGGGGGGGGAGCTCCTCCGCCGCAGCTAGCAGCCCCCGCAGGGCGGCAGGGGGACCCCACCCAGCTACTAGGCAATGGGGTCCCCGCAGCTCCCAGCCGTTGCGGGGGGGGGGGGGGCAGGGAGCTGGACCCTCTTCCCTCCCCATTCTGTCAGGGATGTTCTTAGTAAAGTCAGGGACAGGGCAGGGCTTCCCTGAAATTTTGTTTATTGCAGTGACCTGTCCATGACTTTTACTAAAAACATCCCTGACAAAATCCTAGCCTACCCTATAGGTGATCAGACTCCAATTTGCCTGCTCTTCCCTGGAAGTTTTGTTCCATAGCCAGATCCCCCTCAACCAAATGAAGCTACCTCTGAACTCAAGGGACTGCAGGTGCAGGGATCCTGGTGAAATCCACTGAGGAGCCCTTGACAGAGAAGAGGAAACTGTACCTTGGTCTTACCTGGGAAGGAGGATCCGATAAAGAGGGAGAATTGGAACCAAATCCACCTACTGCCTGCCCCGATCTCCTGATATGGCCCACAAGAGACACAGCTGAGATGAAGTATTTACACTGACACTCATGGATATACACACTTTCTCTAGCTGGGAAAACACACCTCCCTTGATAACTAAGAGTCCTCTAAGACACGGTTTTCAAACTTTTTTTCTGGCGACGTAGCTGAAGAAAATTGTTAATGTCCAGGATCCAACAGAGCTGGGGATGAGGGGTTTGGGGTGTGGGAGGGGCTCAGGGCTGGGGCAGAGGGTTGGGGTGAGGGCTGTGGGGTGGGGCTGGGAATGAGTGGTTCAGGGTGTGGGAGGGAGCTGGGGTGTGCGAGGGGGTCAGGGCTCAGGGCTGGGGGTGCAGGCTCTGGGGTGGGGCCAGGGATGAGGGTTTGGGGTGCAGGAAGGGGCCTCCGGGGCACAGTGCGGAACAGGTAGGAACTAACCTGCCTTAGCCGGGCAGCACTGCCGATGGGACTTTTAACGGCCCAGTCGGCGGTGCTGACCAGAGCCGCTGCGACCCAGTGTCTTCCATTCCACGACCCAGTACTGAGTCGTGACCTGAAGTTTGAAAACCACTGCTCTAGGAAACCGAGAGCGCTTCGGATACCATCACCCTACTGAAACTGTAACTCTAACCCACCCCTTTTGCAGAGCCAATAGAACCAATATTGAAGGTGGCCACTATACTGTTGAGTTCAAAGGGATCTTAATCCAAGTGTTTTCTGTGCCCAAATTAGGCGTGTATTTCACTATCAGAATTAATGCTAATGATTTATTATTTGCATTGCAGGAGCATCCAACAGCTGTCGTCAGGATCACGTTCCTATTGCTCTAGTACAGAAAGACACAGCCCCTGCCTTAAAGAGTTCACTAGTTTGCAAAAAAGATTTGAAAGTAACCAGATGAGGGAATTGGGGAGGAAGCATTAGCGGAGCAATGAGAAGATCACACCATTACATAGACCAGATAGTTCTTACCTGAGTTATAAACAAGGTGCATTGGTTGAAAAATGGAGGAGGGAGGGAAATTGCAAATCAAATTAAACAAATAAATCCAAGAAAATGTTCTCCACTTTTGGTCAACATTTTGAAGCCGTTGAAATTTTTCAGCAAGCTGATTTGTTTGAGCTCTATAATCTCAGGGCTCCATGAATGTCAATGACCCCAAGCCATCTAAAATTGGCTAGTTTCTTGAAGGTGGCCCGGGCTGAGAGGGTGAAGGAGGAAAGGATTGTGACTCAGTTCAGGGAGGGTGTTTTGTGCCTGGAAGGAATTGCAGTGATATTTGTGGGAAGAGTGGAGAAACGCCTGGGTGACCGATGAGCCAGTCCCATGAAAAGTGATGTTTTGTTGCGCAGAGTAGTGCATTGAACTGTACTGACTGATCTAGGATTGATTTCCTGCTGTCTAACTCAGGACTAAAAGTAAAACCTATTTTACCTCCCTTCATCCTGTCGACTCTATTATCAAATGATCTCCTTCCCATTGGTTTTGGATCATCCTCTAGAATTTAATCCAAAATGAGATCTCTGCTAGAGAATTGTATGGGGGGCAGTCCCAAAAACCTATAGAAAAGCTCTCTCTGTTAAATTCTGTTGGTTTTTACAAGGATTTTTATTGAACTCTCTTAGATTGCTATAGAATCCTATTGGTTTTTTCCCTGTTAAATTCTATAGGGATTTGCATAAAGACAGGTCTGCTGAGTTCTGAGTAAGTTTTCTGTCTTGAAAGAGCCCCAGTTATTTAGGCTATTGCATAATTACAGCCTTCACATATGTTCTTTGAGCTGAACGGTTAGTGTTATTTGGACTCTTGTTATCAGAATACTGGCCAAGCTTTTCCAAAGTGACTAGTGGTTTTGGTGGACTCTGGTTTTGGGTGCCCTGGAGGGCTGGTTTTCAGAGCGTGGGTGCTCAGCACTTTCTGAACATCAGACCCCCTTTTAAGAAGTCTCAAATTGGGCTCCTGTAAAATGGAAGACCCCAAAATTGCTTTGGAATACCTGGGCCAGCGATGCACACATACAACACATCTGAGCGAGACCCACCCTGGACAGCCACTTTCCACCGTCCCCCACAAGCATTTAAACTAACCCTTGTTTTTTTAATATATTGCAAAGATAAGGAGCTGTGTGAAGCAGTTTACAGTACCTGTGTGTCCCAAAGGAGGGATGGTGCTTAGGTTGGCGTTCCCACCTGTGGCTAGAAGTTCTTTGGTGATGGCGTGAAGAGTCTCTCCCCAATGTGTCTGGAACTCGCTCTTCTGGACAGTGAACTAGGTTCTCCTTCCCAGGCAGCTTGAAGGATCACTTTCAGACAGCTTTCTATGCACCTCCCCTGAAACCTGGTTGGTCAACCATACTCCTGTTGCACTGCAAAAGTATCCCCCAAGCCACTTGTTTTGGAACTCCAGAATGATTAGCTACAAAATAATTAACAGAGTCTCCTCCTTGTGCTGGACCTGATCCAGAGCCCATCAAAGAAGTCAGCTGGGCATCTTTCCATTGACTTCAGTGGGCTGTGGGGCAGACCCTTAGTCTGCATGGGCAGGGGCCATGGCCAGCCTCCAGCTGCCCAATGCATATTTCACCCTCAGCAGCAAAGGCTGGATGGCAGAGACTAGGATGCACATGGCACTGTGGTCGAGAGGACCAGAACATGCTCCTTTGCCCTGGCAGGATGTCCCCTGTCTCAGGCATATGGCCACCTGCCCATTGCCCAGCCAGGCAGTTCTTTTCAGTAAAGAACTTCATTAAAAGACCATCTTCTCTGGATGTGTTTTTTTGAACTGATTCATGAAGAGTTTGCTCTCTCCCAACACAACTCTAGTGGCTGTGGTGCTGGAGGGCAGAGTGAGCATGGTGGGGGCGGCAGCGAGGGGGAGGTGAGGTCAGGATGGCAGAGACAGAGGGCAGGACGGTGCAGAGGGGTTTGTGGTCTGCAATCAAGACTGGAGAGTGTAGCGTATCAGGAGCCCATTCAGAGGCAGCCCTCCCCTGCCCCCGGCTCAGTATCAGGTTAAAGATTGCCCAGGTTCGCGTGAGAAGCCATTTGGCTGAATTTCACCACTGTTTCCCCTGCAGCCAAACAGGGTGAGTTTGGGAACAGAAGGGGGGAGAGTTCAAGGGTGACTGGGAGGTGGGGGAGAGAGCAGAGGCATTCGTTCCTCTGCAAGCACCTTTGACACATGCAGGATGTGATATTGCGTGAGAAGGCAGCAGTGGCAGATAAGCAAGAGCTGCACTTTGGGAAAGTCCAGGGCAAGGTGCAACCAGCAGAAAGACCCTGACTCGTCCATGCCTCTCACACACGGAGTGAAAACCCACTGCAGACACAGAAGCAGAAGACGCCTACCTGACACATTCCTTATAGGAGAAGAAATTCCCCCAGAGCACAGGGGAGGTGACTTTGCAGCCTCCAGCTCCATAGAGGGGCAGGGTTTCAGCCCCAGTCTCTGGGCTGACTCACCCACTTTGTCTGATATGGCTATACTGATACAGCCCCCATGTAAATGGGTAGATGTAATGTGGGGACAGAGAGGGGAGATTTCCCTTGCCTGTTAGATATAAGATACTTGTAAACCCTGTGGAGAGGTCTCCAAAAACTAGCTTCCACTCCTGGGCTTCTAAAAATTGATTGGGCCATGTGCTGTTTTGGGACCTGGAATCAGCTGGGGAAAGGCCAGCGGAGGGGAGAACGAATATTGATTTTATTTGATGGAGAACTTAGAGGAAACACAGATGTGAGAACTGCAGCCTGTGAGTCAAATTTCTCAGGAGCAGCCTCTGGCTTTGAACGTCTCCATATTTTGAGTGCTCAGCTTGAGCCATCTTGCGATTGATGTTCAGAGGTAGAGTGTAAGGCAGTGGTCCCCAAACTGTAGGAGGAACATTAATGGAGGCACAGTGGTGCTCAGGCCAGCCCCCACAGGGGGTGGGGAGGGAGTGCCCCCCAGCCCTGCTCTGCCCCCAGCTCTGCTCCTGGCCCCGACCGTGGCCCCGCTCCTGTCCGTGGCTCCTGGCTTCCGGTTCCCAGACGCGGCTCCCAGTTCCCGGCTCCTGGTTCCTGGCCATGGCCCCGCTCCCAGTTCCTGGCTCCTGAGCACGGCTCTAGCCCTGGCCCCAACTCCCCACCATGGCCTTGGCCCCACATCCAGCCCTGCCTCCCAACCGCAGTTCCAAGGGACCAGGTAAGGGGGGTGCATGAGCAAAAATGTTTGGGGACCACTGGTGTAAGTGGTTTGGGGCAGGGACAGTCTGTGTTTGCACAGCGCCTAGCACGGGGGGGAGGGGTCAAAGTCTAGACTGGGACTCCTAGATGCTACCGCAATACAATGCTGATCCCTGGCAGCTCAAATGACTCCAATTCAGCTCTTTTGGGGGGAAATCTGACCCAAGATGTTTTACAAAATCAGATGGTTGTTTAAGGTTTCTGCTTGGTTATATCTCACTGAGTGAGCTTTTCCAAGTGGTACAGATCAGGCCCCACTCAAGTGCCCCCCATAGCAGACATATGTCCCGCAGGCACCCTGCCACAGTCCTTTCCCCCACACACACACTCCCAAGGGTCCTGCCAAACACTCCTCCCATACTCTCTCAGGCTGAGAATCTCACAGGTGAAAGTCCCCCATTGCAACTCAGAACACTGCTGGCTCTGCCACCGTCCGTCACTTTAGACTCTTCTCCAGACCCCAATGTTCTTTCAAACGAAGGGCTCCTGTGTGTACCCCTATATCCCCTACAAGAACTCAAAGGCAGCAGTAATGCAAACCACATCCACCCACCACGAGCCTAATTCAAGTCTCATTTCCCTCCTGGGTTCATCTCCCGACTCCTGGGACAATGGCCACATGGCCACTCTCCTGGGCCTTCACCCCGGCACTCCTAGAGATTGGCAGGAAATGCCCTCACTACCACTGTGCAGGCTCTTAGCTGCCTTCAGCCTCTGTTCTCTCCCAGTTCTCTGCTCCTTATACAGGATAGTGGCACCCCCTGGCCCTTTCTCTGGCCTGAGTCTCCAACACCCAGGTCTCCCTGTTCCTGGCCTGACTCTCCTTCTCCCTGGCTCCCAAGCCTCCTTATATATCTCCTGACCACAGGCACTGCCCAGCCCCCTAGTCAGGTCTAGCCAGGGCAACCCTGTGCAGTCAGGAACCCAAGTCGATGTTCTGACGTTTGCGCTTACCCCCAGGGAGGAAAGGAGTCTGAGTAACATGGAGGTCGAGGCTCCAACAGATGATCTTCTACAGAGATCACAGGACTATAGTCAAGTATCAGAAGGGTAGCAGTGTTAGTCTGGATCTATAAAAAGCAACAGAGAGTCCTGTGGCACCTTTAAGACTAACAGATGTAGTGGAGCATAAGCTTTCGTGGGTGAATACCTACTTCGTCAGACGCATGTAATAGAAATTTCCAGAGGCAGGTATAAATATGCAGGCAAGAATCAGACTGGAGATAACGAGGTTAGTTCAATCAGGGAGAGTGAGGTCCTCTGCTAGCAGTTGAGGTGTGAACACCAAGGGAGGAGAAACTGCTTTTGTAGTTGGCTAGCCATTCACAGTCTTTGTTTAATCCTGATCTGATGGTGTCAAATTTGCAGATGAACTGAAGCTCAGCAGTTTCTCTTTGGAGTCTGGTCCTGAAGTTTTTTTGCTGTAAGATGGCTACCTTTACATCTGCTATTGTGTGTCCAGGGAGGTTGAAGTGTTCTCCTACAGGTTTTTGTATATTGCCATTCCTGATATCTGACTTGTGTCCATTTATCCTTTTATGTAGTGACTGTCCAGTTTGGCCAATGTACATAGCAGAGGGGCATTGCTGGCACATGATGGCATATATAACATGGTGGATGTGCAGATGAATGAACCGGTGGTAGCTGATCTGGTTAGGTCCTGTGATGGTGTTGCTGGTGTAGATATGTGGGCAGAGTTGGCATTGAGGTTTGTTGCATGGATTGGTTCCTGAGTTAGAGTTGTTACGGTGCGGTGCGTGGTTACTGGTGAGAATATGCTTAAGGTTGGCGGGTTGTCTGTGGGTGAGGACTGGCCTGCCTCCCAAGGTCTGTGAAAGCGAGGGATCATTGTCCAGGATGGGTTGTAAATCTCTGATGATGCGTTGGAGAGGTTTAAGCTGAGGACTGTAGGTGATGGCCAGTGGAGTTCTGTTGGTTTCTTTCTTGGGCTTGTCTTGTAGCAGGAGGCTTCTGGGTACACGTCTGGCTCTGTTGATTTGTTTCCTTATTTCCTTGTGCGGATATCGTAGTTTTGAGAATGCTTGGTGAAGATCTTGTAGGTGTTGGTCTCTGTCTGAAGGGTTGGAGCAGATGCAGTTGTACCTCAGCGCTTGGCTGTAGACGATGGATCGTGTGGTGTGTCCGGGGTGGAAGCTGGAGGCATGAAGGTAGGCATAGCGGTCGGTGGGTTTTCAGTATAGGGTGGTGTTAACATGACCATCACTTATTTGTACTGTGGTTTCTAGGAAGTGGACCTCCCGTGTAGATTGGTCCAGGCTGAGGTTGATAGTGGGGTGGAAGCTGTTGAAATCATGGTGGAATTCTTCCAGAGTCTCCTTCCCATGGGTCCAGATGATGAAGATGTCATCAATGTAGCATAGGTAGAGAAGGGGCGTGAGTGGACGAGAGCTGAGGAAGCGTTGTTCCAGGTCAGCCATAAAAATGTTGGCATATTGTGGAGCCATGCGGGTGCCCATGGCAGTGCCACTGGTCTGGAGGTATATATTGTCATCTAATTTGAAATAATTGTGTGTGAAGATAAAGTCACAGAGCTCAGCAACAAGTTGTGCTGTGGCATCATCAGGGATACTGTTCCTGACAGCTTGTATTCCATCTGTGTGTGGGATGTTTGTGTAGAGAGCCTCCACATCCATGGTGGCTAGGATGGTGTTTTCTGGGAGATCACCAATGTATTGTAGTTTTCTCAGGAAATCAGTGGTGTCACGGAGATAGCTGGGAGTGCTGGTGGCGTAGGGTCTGAGCAGAGAGTCCACATATCCGGATAGTCCTTCAGTGAGGGTGCCAATTCCAGAGATGATGGGGCGTCCAGGATTTCCAGGTTTGTGGATCTTGGGTAGTAGATAGAATAACCCCGGTCGGGGCTCTAAGGGTATGTTGATTTGTTCCTGTGTTAGTGTAGGGAGTGTCCTGAGTAGATGGTGCAGTTTCTTAGTATATTCCTCAGTGGGATCTGAGGAAAGTGGCCTGTACAATTTGATATTGGAGAGTTGTCTGGCAGCCTCCTTCTGGTAGTCAGATCTGTTCATGATGACAACAGCACCTCCTTTATCAGCCTCTTTGATTATAATGTCAGGGTTGTTTCTGAGGCTGTGGATGGCATTGTGTTCTGCATGACTTAGGTTATGAGGCAAGCGATGTAGTTTTTCCACAATTTCTGCTTGTGCACATCGGCGGAAGCATTCTATGTATAGATCCAGACTGTCATTTCGACCCTCAGGAGGAATCCATGTGGAGTTCTTCTTCCTGTGTTGTTGGTGGGAGGGTATCTGTGTATCAGTGCACTGTTCAGTGTTATCTTGAAAGTATTCTTTGAGTCAGAGGCCGCGAAAGTAGGCTTCCAGATCACCGCAGAACTGTATCATGTTCATAGGGGTGCTGGGACAAAAAGAGAGTCCCTGAGATAGGACAGACTCTTCTGCTGGGTTGAGTGTGTAGCTGGATAAATTGACGATATTGCTGGGTGAGTTAGGGGTACCACTGTTGTGGCCCCATGTGGCAGGTAGGATTTTAGACAGCTTACGGTCCTTTTTCCTTTGTAGAGAGGTGAAGTGTGTAATGTAGATCTCCTG